TAGCCAGAAACGCGCACATGGTCCAGAAACACATGTTTACGTAGGCCTACGTTCAGGACAAGATCATTTATCAGCAATGGATGAATTATGGTATCAATAATTGGCCTAATATAAGGCTTGTACACTATGGTTATGTACATAATAAGTTGCGTCTAAATTATCTTGGATAATTATTACAGCAATTTACTATACTTACTACAATATATTTGATCTTCCAAATTTTATCCGTACAATGGGCTTATTTCAGGAGATTGTACGAATACAGATCTCCCTCAATTAGCGACTACTTTTGGGACCCGGATTTCCATGGTCTTTCGCAGTTTTGTCTCTAATTAGAATAATAAAGATAAAAGACATTTGTTAATTTAGGTTAACAGAAAAGTGGTCTTTAATTAGAGGTGGCCTTTAGTTAGAAGAGACCTGTAGAAATATTCTAATTATTATTTTGAATTAAGAATGTATTACAATGCAATAATAGTCTTGTATAGCACAGAACCTCTTGTTTTGCGCTGAAATATATTTTGTGTATGCCAATGCTAGGCTAGATCAAGTTGGTTGAGTGTGACGTGCTCACTCTGCAGTATGTACATATCGACCAATGAATGTAAAACTATGCTGCCTTAACTTTAATTATTTTAGTGTATAATAATTCATAAATAATGTTTTAATGCGGAATATTAAATGTATATTTCTATATGTATATTATTATATGTAAATATCAATAGTGAATAATTTTAATTTAGCACATAATAGACGTATATGTTAAGAAGCTGTTGGCGCAAAGTTGTGGCTCTGACGGTGAACATGGTGTCGGATTACGTAATCATCTACCTATAGTGCACAGCATATGCTTGTGAGATAGGAGACTTCTACGTAAGAAGTGGCGCACCCCACAGAATTGCAGAGTTTTGCCTAAAGTTGTATGAGTTGTGCACATCGCCTGTGCGCCATGAACTCCAGTTTCAACTTTACACTAACGAAGATTACAGATTGGTAATTATGTTCAACAGTAGGCCTATATGTGTAGATTTTTGTAGGCAGCATTTTCAAGGGATTAAATTAATTAGCATATCGATTGAATAGTGATACCACTGCAGAATTTAGAATCGTAAAATAAGCTAACAAAAAGTGGTACGACTAGGCCCTAATTGTTTCATATCGGTCAGACCATACATATAGGTTGTAGTGTAAATGTATAAACGATATCTACGTTCATTGTGTATAGATATCGAATCCTATTCTAATATATGCTAAAATGATAAAGCCTATATGATTACATAACTATACATACATCAACATAGTCTGGCGCCAGTACTCTTCATCGAGAGATTGTGTAGTTAGGATAGGCCCCTATATTGTTTTGTGAGATGTACATGATAAAACACTTTCAGAATAAAACAAACACATTTGTGTAACTTGATAGTCTTGAAAATGCTTTGAGTCAATAAAAAGAAATTTGAGACAGTTGGATCACATCCAAGTAATAGGCCTATAACTTGTATTCAGTTAAGCAGGTACTCTCTTAACCCAATGTTGCGTCCAGACTCACCCTCTGCTTTCTTGTTTAAAATATTAAAAACATTTCCTATATAATCACACTTCCACAAGAGGTATGCCCTCAGAATCAGATTCGGAGAAAAGTTTCATTAGCGTTTGCGAACCTTGTGATTAGGTTTTGTCTGAAAATGACATTTTATCACAACGATGCAAAAACATTTGTTACGTTATACAACATACGTAATTGCGGTCCTATGGGGGAAAAAACACTTGAGCACCAACTGTAATATTACTATAACGTCAACAATTTTAGTGGGTGCCAATTTCACGAGCACTCCATGGCCTAATTCTTCAACCTTTTTGAACACCGATACATGTATTTGATTGTGTTTAAAAAGTTTTGTTTCAACGCATAATCGGCTACTGGTAGTAGATTATGCGATTGCATGCCCTCTGTGTCACCTTATGTAGTGATAAAACCTACCTTTTGTACCCCTCGTCTAGGCTTAATTGCGGTTATTAAATATTATCGTTATGGACAAACATCGATTACATCAAATTATATACAAGTACGAATATTAACCATTAGCAGTAGGCCTATTTACAAAACCAACTGGTCGCTCATTGACGGTTAGGTCTTTGTGTATGCCGTACCGCACCGTGAATGAAATACTTATGTTTTTACCAATAGCATACCAAAAGCGTAGAGGCCAACCGGCCCGGACCATTCCCCTTTTTAATTGGAAATAATAGAAACTTAAGTTAAATTTTAGCTCTGAGAATGCTATTTTGGACCGTATTATTATAAGTTACAATTTTGGTTGTTTAAAGGAATCAAAGAATTCATTTTAAATTCATATTGTACTGTCAGATTTACCTTAGATGTATCAATGAACCGTAAACTAAACACTTTGAGTTCCTATATACAGAGATCAAGTACTCGAAGGAATTATACCAGGAACTACGACCAAGGGTCTGGGTCGACCGTACATCGCAAAAGGATTGATGGTAGGCCCTATTAACATTATTTTAGACGGAGATTGTGAGCTGTTTAAATCAGGGGCAGATCCAGAGAAAAATCTGTGTAAGAGACATGTGACATGCGCAGCCCCGAGTAGGGGTAGGTAGGGTGATGTTGATGTTTAAAGTTTTTGTTTAGAAATGTTTGACTGTAGACACTGGTACTTGGAAGTCAAAATTAGCTTGTGTTCAGGTACTGCGCTCCCCTCTTTCTCCCCCCCCCCCCTTTTTTTTTTTTAAATCTTTCTTCTCTCTTTTTTCTCTATTTGTTCTTCTCCTGCTTTGAATCCTCCCCTGGTTATAGTCCTACAGTAGTACGATGACGAGAAGTTTGTCGTAATATACCTCCCTGCCTGAAGTACGATAGAAATCGATTGAATATTATAGTGCAAGTTATTAATAGCTGTTGTCGTATAAGTATAAACTTAAATTGACCTATTCGCGCCCATCAATTACTAACATTGCCTACTCTATTTCAGTGTTCTTTTGTGCGTGCTTGAGATCTCCAGGACAACTGATTGATGTATATATTGCGTGTACTACTTGACTTATATCCTTCTTTATCCAGGAGATAAACAGTGTATCTGGTATTCGATTGAAACAGAATCCTTTTGAGACGAAAACAACTTTCTGTCAATCATCTCCCGCCAATTGAAGCATTTTAACGTGTTTGCAAATTTGTTCAAAAATGTAATTTTTATTTATTGACATCTTTAACGAGGGGTAAAACTTTGGATCAATGCGTGAAAGCAAAATTCTTCCTTCGGAACTCTCAATTAGACCAGATATAGGCTAATTTGAGCAGATACAATTAAAGCAAAATAATACCTAGATCTGATTTATCGAATTCGTCGAGTTATCTCTTCTAAGTCATATTAGTAGACATAAAACTTAACAAATATTTGAAAATAGAAGTAGGCCTAGGCCTATTAATAGAATACTTTAGTAGAGATCAGCCTATTATAGAAACATTTAATGGCAGTACTAACCAGTTTTAGGTGTTGATTCATTTACCATTTTTGTTATATTTTTACCTAATAGTAGGCTCAGTACAAATCCATCGGTAGACAATCGGTACTTCATGACATTTCGGCACTCGAATTGAAACATTGTTTACAGCCCTTTATTTATTTATTTATTTATTTATTTGAACATACACCTTTGAATCGGTGGCACTCAATATCAATTGGTGCGTTCGTACAAACAAAAACAAAAAAAAGGGGAAAATTTAACAAACAAAATAAATAACAATCGAATGTAAATAATATTACAAAATTAAAGAAAGGTAGAAAAATAACATATGAAATTAGATGACATCACATTTCACAGTACAATATGAATTTAAAATGAATTACAGTATATATAATCGTTCTCTCATACAACAAAAAGATAATACCAAGGTAGACCTACTAAACTTAAGGAATACAGACTACAACGTAGAGTCCACTTGTGGTTAAAAAAAAAAAAATTAACATTACACAATTTGATAAGCAACGATACATTTACAGTAAACTATTGCTGTGAATTTTTTAGTTGTGAGCGTTTCTCCCAAGCATTCATGATGTATTTTTAACAGAAATTATCAAAAATAGAGGTAGATTCATCACAAATAAAAACTGAATCTCCTCCTAATACATATTGAAGTTTAATATCGTCATTTGTTGTTGAAAAAAGTGTCCATGTATCATAATCGTTACAAAGTAGAAGGCCATTTTCAAGATTTGTTAAATGTTGTTTTCTAACGATATTATAAGCGGGACAATTTAGTAAAAAATGCTTGACATCTTCAATTTATTCAAACTTTTCGATATGACAACTCTTTGCTAACTTGGCGGAATCACTATTCGTGAATATATATATATATGTTTTTTTTTCATGAAAAATTTCTCTATAAAAACAGTTTATATTTTGATTAAAAACAACTAAATTGTAAGGGGTCTGTTAATTCAGTCGCGACCCATCGTTTGAAATTTGGTCATTGGTTTTAATACCAAGGTATTGTTTGATTCAACGTCTGGTCCAGACACAGAGGCCTTCCTGGGGCGGATGCATGGTTTGGCGGTAGGGGTGCGTGAGAGTCTACACGACCTCAGAGCCACCATGGCTGGGGCTGAGGTAATTCAGAGAATATGGACCACTAGGTGCCCGAAAATTACACTCTCATACCTAAAAAAATCAACAGGTACTATGTTCATATCAACAATACAATAAAAAATGTTTCTTAATACAATTTATGGGGTGCGATCGCACCGTTAAACCCCCTCCCCCACCTGCATCCGCCCCAGAATTCTTGACATGATGCGCTATTATCATTATCAATATTATTACCCATTTTGGCTGTGTCAGACACCGAATAACAGTTAATAGGCCTACTGCTATTGTCACTAAAATGCGAGAACCTATCAAATAAATATAATATGATTAACATAAACTTCAAGCTCGGGGTACCGTACTAATCATTCTATTGTACATAAACGTCCGGCGACCCAACAAAATATTGGCGACCCTAAACCTGAATTCAACATCGGATTCGAACCAAAGTTCGGACCTTGTTTCCGAAGCTCCGGCGTGCCTATTCTTAACACACTGATTCGATTTTCTGATTGCTTCGGGATGCTTTCCGCTCCTAAAATTCGGATTTGGTGTAAATGTACATATACACTAGTTTGAATACCAGGGGTTTACAGTTAGCTCAATCGTTAACACGCCAACCCATTTTGATTTATTGTTCAGGACCAGGCGAAGTTCAAAGCGATAAACCAAGTTCCCAAGTCGCGTCTCCCTACGGAAACATCCTATTGGTTCGAGCTGCTGCAACACGAGAGATGTAGGAGGCAAGATACAATCACAATCAAACCCGGATGTTGTATTCTATAGCAGCAAGACTATATAACTGTGGAAAATTACAAAGGGAAATTATCGTGAGCACATTCCTGTACATACCGTAGGTTACCTAACGCGGGCGGAGGTCGTTGATGATGTGATTAATGTTATGCTGGTTGGTGATGCGATCAAATGGTACCACCGTACTCTTAATGCATAGGGCTTATAAATCTAGGCCTATAGGCTACTTCAGGTAAGTTTGCTTGAATTTCACCTACTGAGATATACCTGAAAACCATGTTGTTCAGCCTGAATGGTGACCGAATAGGCCTACTCATGTATTTAAGCATAAGTATAGGATGGTGCATACACGATTTATCCTAAAATGTGTCCCGCCGAATCAAGAATTCATTTGATTTTATTGAATTTGATTTGGTACGTCTACATTTAATTTGTACCATGTCGCGTGAATGGCTATGTAAGCTTTCTGATTCAGGAATTCAGTTAGTTAAATTTAACACTGATACCAGCTTTTCATAGTGCCGTACCATTAGGCATTCTCATTTTAATCATAGTAATAATAATATCTTTATCATTCGTGTAAGTCTATCCTTTTCTGAATGATTTTGTCCTCAGGTAATAGGCCTAAAGTAAATGATTCCTTGCCAGTGATTGCAATTTCTGAGTTTTATTTCAGACAATAAAAGAATCTTGAATCTTGATTATCGGTAGTGACTGGAAGAATATAAGACGTGGCCGGTAACTTTGTATTGTATTGGAATTAATTGACCAGGAATAAAGTGCAATACATTGAAACATCAAAGAAAGTGCGATAACATTAACAGTTCCTAAATCGAATGTATCAGTTAGTTTAGAGATTACAGTGACTATATCAATTTGCATAGTAAACAATAATGTAAACAAAACACTTGTACTAACCAGTGGAGGCAGTGTAACTATGACAGTACAATAGTGTCGATACTACAATAACAAACAACAGTTTACGAGAGTAATAAAGGTAGTAGTACTATTGTTAAGAAACTTACGGTACGTTTAAGGCGATGCTTTTGAAATATAGAAACACTTATGCCTATGTTTTAGATCCCGCGTAGGATGGAATCAGGATCCGAGTACTGTATGCACTTTATGGAAGGTCATACAATTTTTATTTAGATTCGGACAAGATACTGACGGCACCACCGTTTTAATATATCTTTTTTTTTGTTTTGCTGTTTGAAGATACAATATTTCCCCTCCATTGACATAGGACTGTTTACCGAATTGTACTCGCGAATTTCTCATTTATTTCTTTTACGTCTATATATTTTTGATACGTATATTTCAGAAAAACAAATGTCGCAATCGGGAGCATGTGGCTAAATAACATTATAATAGTTAATCCGCTATTGGGTAACGTTTACATTTGTTATGAACTAACGAAAATGTCGGTTAATATATTATGCTTTTGTTTTTATATGACGTTGTATCCTTGATCTCATTTCAGAAGTTGAACTTTGAAGATCCGGGTTAAGGACAAGATAAATTAGTAGCTATGGAAACAGGATTGGATTTGCTCCGTTCACAAAGGATGAAAGAACGCCACCTTCTGCTTGGTACTCAGCAATCGGGAGAATTCGTGTATAGTAGACCTATTTTTTTGCTTTGGAATTAGAAAAATTGTACATGGAATTAGAAAAATTGTACATGCTATTTTAGATACATACAGCCTGCAATACAATTACATCATGAAAAGTAGTTGGTCTCTTGTACTGTATACAATGGACGGGTGCAATATATCAGCCCGTTGCCTGCTAGCCCTATGCAGCACAAACCATATCCTAAACCACCAGCTTAAATGTAACCATTCCCTCCTTTGGAACCGACATTGAAGACCAATAGAGGGTTCCACAGACGCTGTAATACAGGTACCTCGGCCATGGACCTTTAACTTCACTCGTAATGAGAACGCACTTAGGGGACGACAATGACATCCGCTCGCGTAATGCGCTTAATAATTTGTGACAAATTTTGTTGTAGAAAAACCTATTTTATTCCTCCATGGTAGAATCAACCGCATAATATAAAAAAAAACTATTTGGCTGAACACATTGCCGCAACCGAGTTGGCTAATTACCGGTACATTGCAATAAGTTAAAAAGCAAACAACAAAAAACAAGGTGACAGTAGTTATCTCTGGTTGGCTTAAGTGAATCCATGCCTACTGGGTTATGTAATATAACGTCTCGAGATTGGTAAAATCTTTGTTTTCTATCGGCCCTTCTGTCCTATTCAACGTTTGCGTTGTGCATTCGATCAATATGATGCATAATCACCACTTTAAACAACGTCACGAATAATAGACTGGTATTGAAAACACGGATTAGTTTGGCCATGGAGCCTTTTAATGGTTTAAGAAAAACGACTCGAAACCTGCTGCAGTAGTAGCTCAGATGGGCTCGTGCCCACAAGCTTCACCACATTGTTATCCCTTACAGGAAATTAGGAAGAGTATCTTACTCGGGAAAATAACAATCCGGTACGTTATACAAAGCTTTAACTTGTTTTATATTACTTTTTAAAATGTGTGCATGACGAGTGTCATGATTCCGTAAAGACTGTTATCGGAACTACAGGCGTTTTCTTTAGTTCCGTTTCATACTGACAGCAAAAACTGCAAACCACAAGGACGCTAACATTGGAAGCGGTTAAACTAAATTTATAATTCCAAATTTTAGACAGGTCGATTAGTCTGTCCTAAATTGAGAGTTTTATTTTGTTTTTGTTTTTGTTTTTTGTTTTTGTTTTTTTGTTTTTTTGTTTTTTATTGTTGATAACAATTTTTGCGTTGTATTTACTTAAGGCCTAGTTAATATGTAATTTTCATGGACATAACAAAATAACATTAATTTGTAGCTTATGAAAATACCAAAAGGGATAGGTCTGCGTTGCTGTGCCATATTCAAGAAAAAGAGAAGTTTCTATAAAATTAGATTTGCCTGAAAAATTAGTCAAAAACACCCGCCACTAAAAATTAATGAAACGTTTAAGGTGCTTGTGTTTATTTCCAATCTCTTTTTAAAAGCTGATACTGATAATCCTTTAATAATATGAATTCACAACAATTTAGTGGCGGTTTTTAATTGGTGTCTGGAACATTAATAATTATCAATAACATCTTACTTAACATGTTTACATGATATAATCATGGATAATTGAAATAAAAATAGATTTAATCAAATACAGTTTATCAGCAAGCAAACCATTATTAACACTGAAGTATTTTATGATACCAAAAAGCTATTTTTAGCATGAACATGAAGAACAATCGTATTTAATTCCATGTGACGTCATATTTATATTCGGGGTCAGAATAGCGTTTATTCATGCATCCGTGTATTCAATCAAGACAGCATTGAAGCACATTATGGTTACCTTGGGTTGGTTAGCCGAAACTATTACCTGCATTGATTGATCGAACTTCTACTGTCCTAATACTAGGCCAAAATTAGATTACAAGAATAGTAATAATCATGGAATACATTAGTAGACATTTAGGTATTGTTGAATGTGTCCACTCTTATTGGTTTAAAAATCAATGTATTGACATAGTGTAGTCGTAATACCCATACTTTACCTGGTATATTTTTGTACTATATCGAAATGTTGTACTTTGTTGAAATAAGAAATTGACCTATAGTATCACTACCAAATAAAATACCTGTATTAATGTATAACTAATTATATAATAATAACTTTTTAACACTTTAAAATCTAATCAAAACACAATATAATACCTGGTGTATACATTATGAAGATTACAATAAAGTTTTCTGAGCAGCTTTATTAGTAAAGAGAGCTTCATCGCTTATCGCCTCAGTTGAAGAATTAAAAAAATATATATAGGCCTACAGTATTTGAAAAGTAATTAGAAACTAAGAACTTAAATTCATTCGTTAGAGCAAAGGAACGCCTGAAAAAAACGCGCAAGGTAATTGAATAATTAAGTAAATTATTATATTCCTCTTATAAATTTAGCCTAGAGGAACGGACCAGCGTGACCACTCACAATTTTTGTAATACCCAATGAATGGGTCGAAATTACCCAAGATTCTGCAAAAATTGCCAAGCATTACCCAAGCTTCCTGAAAATGCATTTTAAAATTTGAAAAATATGTTTTTCGCATGTATAGTTTCCCTTTTAGTTCAATTTATGAACCATTTTTATTGTAATTGTTTGTGTTAATTATTAAAATTAATATTCATGAGGTGATAATACGGATAGAAAAATACGCCCTCAATCGCCCAGTGTTATCAGTGTAGACCAGTGATCAAGTTTTATTATGCAATGCATTAACTAGGTAAGATCAATGGCAATGCAAATCACAAATAAACAATTCTGAACCCATTTTTATAGCAATTAACAGTCAATTAAGAATGTTATGTGCACTTCGTTGAGTTTTACTTACTTGAATGAACTGAAATATACTTTGTTACTTCTTAATTTTTCCTCTTGATAAAAACATTTAATTTTCTTAGTAAAAATAAGTACCCAAGGATTTGAACGGAATACCCAAGAACCCAAGACCAAGTCAAAATACCCAAGATCTTGGGTAAATACCCAAGCAGTGGTCACGCTGGACAGTGGGACTACGCTACGAACTAATTGGCTATAGTCAGCTCCTGTACGCGCTTTTATATGATAATAAATCACTCCATGTCGATTTATGTTCGGTTTATGTTCCCTATAAAATTGTAACGTGCACGCGTATTAAGTCATTAATGACAATGACAAAGGCTTATTTCATTCAAAATTGATGGTATCCATTAGCATGATGTCACTAAATTTTATATATTATTAAAATTTGAATTTTTACTCCACAGAAATATACATGTTTCTACAAGTCCACTTCCCCGTGTTTCCCGTATTACACGGGAACAGACGGTTATGATGCAAGTTGCGCGTAGTTTTAATGTCAAAGATGGACAACTAAGCAGCGTCCTGGCGTGCGGCAACCCAGCAGAAGAGCGCCGTCTGGCAGCTCAACTCCAGAAAATTGAACACGAAAAAAAGAGAAGAGAATCTACGCTAGCGTGGAATCAAAGGAATTTCTTCATTAAGCAGGTAAATTTTGGCGTAACTCTTATCATTAGTGACACGTTATTTGCCATGATAAATTGTACTATTGTTTATTGTACGTGGAATATCTAACCACTTACCCTACTCAATCCATAAGTAGTCCCTAAAATCTTTAGCCTCTGTTTTTCTTTATTTTCGGTTTCTAGCAAAGGTGAGATTAATACAAGCTCCAGTACGTCGTTTGTAACATATTGATTCTATATAGTATAAATATCATTTATAATATTTCATTTGTGACTTGTCTCAAAAACTTATTTTCAGGTGTTTGATCAAGATAACGAGCTACGATTTGTAAAAGCTTACGAGCGGCCATCATACCTCTCATTGAGTGCTGTTGAAGACGAATTTGAAGAAACAATTTCTCTTAAACCTAAATCAAGATCACTGGATTTAGGAAAAAGCTTGCCGCATGGAGCAAAGTTCAGAAAAAATTTCCTCAGACGGTCAAAGACAGAGGGCTCACTTCTGATCCATCGGAAAGACACAGAAGAACCAGAGAATCAATTTGATATCTTGCGAAGTGATACAAACATAGGGGAAGAAAAATCAAATCAGAATGGTGAAAACAAGTCAATCACCGACTTGCCGAAACTTCCTATAGAGTGTGAAAACGTTGAGAATTCGACAGCAGTGGACATTAATGCGAAAAATAAGCCGGATATTTCCAAAGCAAAGGTTAAGTTTCCATTATTGAAGGTTCGAGCTTTGGGTATTTTTGCAGCTTCTTTCAGACGTAATGAAAGCGATTCACTGGCATTTAAAGGCAACATCCACTTACCTTCACCAACAGCAGGAGTCTACCATACGCATCACAGTAGTGCAGATAGTTCCTCGAATTCAGGCCAATCAGTTAAACATGGTACAGATAATGTCAAAGAAAAAGGTTTTGATAAAGAAAATGAAAAACGGTTGTCAAATAATTTAAAAAAGAAAGCCCACTCAATGGACCCATACGAGGGCGATAAAGCAAATAAATCTTTGGTAAACGGAAGGTTCAGTCAAAGAAAGGAAGAAACGAGGCCTATACACTGTAGTAATGGTGAAGAACTCGATAGAAAAGATAAATCTAATGACTTAGTCTCTAACGGCAACAGATACTCAAAGACCACCGAATATAAATTAAAATATATAGGTTTAAGCACCCTGAACATGGATAGAAATGAAGGTATACATAAAGGTTCAAAAGATAAGTCACGTGATATGCTGAGCAGACGTAGGCAGCAAGAAAAAGCAGTAGCTTTGTATGACCAAGAGAACGATGGAAAAAGTATAATATTACAGCAAGAAAAAGTTCTTCGAAAACTTGTGAGCACTTTACCAACTCACTTACTCCTAAAGACTCACAAGCGAGAAAAAGAGGCAGGCGGAATATCGACAGATGACGTAAGGAGAAGAATGATAGACAAGGCGCGGGCGGGAATGTCACGAAGCGTTCTAAAGGATCCGCGATTTAAAGACTTGGAAGATTTTTTGAATGCTGGAAAAAATGCAACGTACAATCCAAATCCCTTTTCGGGTGAAATTTTAACCGATGATGATGATTGAAAAATTTCTTTGATGCCTAACGGGATAAATCAATGATAATGTTTAATACCAATATAGCCTCGTGAAACAGTTCATACTTCAATCAGTGTTTTTTGTTTATTAATTTAAAAAAAAAACCCCTTTAAAATAGGATTGTTATTGTTGCTACTGTATTATCATTAGCGTTGTCCTTAGCATTAGGCCTATATCATTATCACTGTCATTGCCATACATCATTATCATTGTATATCGTTATTCATTTAGTATCGATGAGAAAAACAACACCAGAATACCGAATAATAATTATATAACTATCTATAGAAAGAGACAGAAAAATATTGGCAATTCAACCAGCATTCCAGTAGTTTGCTATAATATCATTTAGTGCGTCAATCGGGATATTTTTCAGTATAGATAGCATTCAGTATTCAGTGTTTCGTACTCTACCGACTCCTTGAGACCAATAACACTCGTATTTGGTGCAGCAGCTTCATTGCAATCGACTGTTGTTAAAGTTGCACAAACCCATTTGTAGAGAAACATGGAGTATGCGGCCGTTGTAAACTTGTATATTCGTGGTATATGCGCTGTTTGTTGATCTAACTATTGAATAACACCTTCTGATTTAATCAAAGAGATAGAACAAGAGAGCCAACTACGCTCATTTGAGAGCGTAAAAACGATACGCCATACGCAGCTAGTGTAGGACGCCAACTAACGCTTGTGTGCACTTTTTATTACCCAGTAGGCGTATTCGACTGGTCCTTTTCCGAGGAGTGATTTACTACTCAGAGTGTGCTCGCGGTGCTCGTTAAAAAAAACAGCGAGGAGTTCGAGCCGCTCTTGTGAGGTATTCGTGCTGCTCGTGCGACCAGTCGAATACGACATGTGCATTTTAAGTAGAAAGAGCTGCTCAAAACAGACCAGTAGAATACGCCTATTACTCCACCGCGCACGGTCGGTTTGTCTGTTTATCTGTTCTCCACAAGAGAGAGTACTTTTGTTTTCTTCATAGAGCTATTATTCTTCGCTATGGTTTTCTTCCAAAGATCTTATACACACTAGATGTGTAACAAATAGAAGCGTCGATTTGGCACAGAAAAGTAATCAGTTTGAGAGAGGGCGTCCTATTCATTGCCATGGATCTGAGATAGGGTATTCACGTTACGCCAAAGTTAGTTACCAAGTACGTTATTTTGTTCCTTATATTGTAAAGAAAGGGCGCATTGTAAATCGGACGCTTCTAATTGTTACGCGTTTTCAATTTTGCAAGAGGGCGCCGTTCATGCGTTATTACCATAGATCTATTATTATACCTCTATGGTTATTACAGAATTTGCACGCGTAAATCGTGGAGAACGCTATCTTGTGTTTATAAGATCTTTGTTTTCTACTTACTGAGTTCATAGCGGGCGTACTTCTATCGCGCTGCGCACTGGTAATAAAAAGTGCACACAACCGTTACGGGTGTCCTACGCAGGCGTGACGTTTTTACAAACAAGAGTACGCTCTCTTGTTCTATCTATACACTTCGATTTAATTAGCAAATTTTACAGACACTCTGGAAAGGTTCATCTGAGTCCAATCGATTAGGTCTAACAACGGCTATGGCATGGTGGGGGGAATTGAGTGATGTGGTCCACTGTAGCAAAAGTTAGTAGAGGTAGTAGAGTTTGGCTGAGGAAAGAAACGGTGACATTCGTCGTGACCGTTTCTTCAGGAAATTACCCCAATTTCCTCCAAATTTCTTATTGTTTACTGTTATATCGGTTTTTTAAATTAGTGTAAATGTCATAATGATCTCAATAGTGAATAAGTTTACTTTAAGATCATCCACTTACTTGTTTTTACTGTTATTTTGTATGTTTCCTAGAAATATTAAATGAAACGATAATAGAACAGAAGGCAAAATATGTTTCGGTTTATTTGTACAAGATGTCTGTTTGTAATGGCATAATACCAACATGTGTAGGTCTACCTTGCAACGTCACAATAGTAAATTTAGACAATAATGAACAAAGTACATTTCATTGATATTCATTGTAAAAAAACAAAATATGTTTCGGTTTATTTGTACGTGTAAAAACAAGACGTCTGTTTGTAATGGCATAATACCAACATGTGTAGGTCTACCTTGCAACGTCACAATAGTAAATTCAGACAATAATGAACAAATTACATTTGATTGATATTCATTGTAAAAAAACAAAACTTTATTTAATGTCATAATCAATGTCAATTTCAGAACATTCCGTCTTGTAAACGTGAGTTGTGAAACATAGGAACAATGCCATGTGATATGAGGTTAAATGTGCGTAACTTAAGCTAATTACTCCAAATATTCATAATATTACAGTACAGCTAACATATATCATTATAATTTTTTTTTTTTTTTTTTTTTTTTTTTTTTTTTTTTTTTTTTTTTTTTTTTTTTTTTTTTTTTTTAGCTATTGAGGTTTTCAACATTTTCTCAACTGCATTTCCCACACCAGTTTTGTGTTATAGTCTTTATTCTTTTTTGCTGAAGGTCCAGCCTCAGACTTGGTTTTCTTTATATTCAACTGTCAATTACATTGTAGTGGCCTAGAGAGGGTGTTCAGCCTGGTATCCATAAAATTGCTACACTCTTGCGACATCCTTTCACAGCCGTACACTGAACTGAGTAGTTGTCTCCGGCATAATTGGGATGGCTCCGCGATTCTGCAGGCCAATCTACGTCGCCGAAAGCTGTCGGCAATATCGCATAACGATTTTGAGGAAACTATAACGGTAGGATTAGAATAACGCTGGGTGATCATTTAGCAACAGAAGTTTTAGGTTGATTGATTGCATCTCTTATCCATCTATGGGCCTAGGATATGATTTATATGCAATGTTTGACAACTGTGTACTTGCGGAACTGGCGGGAATTCATAAGCACCTTCAAATCCACCAACTCCAGCTGGTATGCAAGAGAATTGCGTTCTCATTCCAACGTCAATGCACCTGTGAACATAAACCATAAAATTAAATACGTTGTTCATTATTTTTTGTTTCTAACCCCAAAACAATCCATTTGAGTACCACCAGCGTGACCACTCATCATTTTTGATATACCCAATGACTGGGTCGAAA